TTGATTTTTTTTTTTTTTTTTTTTTTTACCAATTATGTGCCAGTTCATAAGGCACCCAAGGCACACACATTTGAAATGGAGACGGACAGAGCTTGGCTGTGAGCCCCGTGTCTGCAGCCTCTCATGAGTGGGCACTTCGTTCCCCCACCAGAGGCTGGCGTCAGGGCCGGGGTCACAGGGACGCCTCGGCTGTCACGCATATTCTCCCGAACTGACCTTTGTACATGTTATTTCCTTCCTCTATCGCATGAAGGAAAACACTTGGTGACATCTTCCACCCCTCGTCTTCTTCCTGTTGAAGCAGACAATGTTTTGTTAATCTCTGGCGTGTCGCATCTGTCCAGACTCGACAGTAAAAGACACATCATTGTGGTTTCCGTCTCTATGGTAACGCACGGAGACCCCGCCCTCCCCTCCGGCCCCTCGCCTGCCTTCCTGGGCAGTTTCCCTGCTGGCCAGTCTGACGGGGTGTGCTGTGTCCACCGACCAGGCCACGGGTGGTTCCAGAGACCTGGCTCCCTCTGCAGGCTCGTGGGGTGCCCGTGGCACCAGCTTCCTGTTGTATCCCCTGCAGTACTGTGCACCCTGCGTTAGGTCCCGTCGCCTCCCTCACCACGGTCCATGACCCCGTGTGGATGCTGCTGCTGTCTGTGGGCTGCTCAGCCACTGGCCAGCTCTCTGCTTGAGCCAACACCTGGCTACTCCTTCCTCCCGCTAGCCTGTCCCCTACCTGGGCCAAGAAGCCACCCCGAGCCCCAGCTCAGAGCAGCCCACACAAGCCACCCTGGGCATGGGACGTGTCCCACCATGTGCCCACACACCTGGGGACAGGGCAGCACCCGCGCATGGACCCTTGTGTATCACCCCTTGTCACCCGCTCCCCACGCAGGAGGGAAGACGTGAAGCAACAGCTCACGGTGGTAAGAGCTATACGGGGCGGCCAGGGTGCTGGAGAAGACCCCCCACCTCACGGAGGGCCCGCCCGGGACCACAGCGTTCACAGCACACAAGGACGCCACCTGCCCTGCCGACCCTGGGAGGGAGCTCGACCCAGGAACCCCAGGGGGCACGAAGCCTGCAGAGCAACTGCCCCACCTTCCAGGACCCCTGGGAAAGCAGAGCCCGCTGCGACAAAGCCCCCTCCCGCCCGGTCCCCGGGGCTGGCTCCTGCCCATCTGGGCTCCCAGGAGACCCAGCCATTCGAGAAAAACCTGCGAGAGAAGCAAGAGAGAGACCAGCATGAAATAAAGCATGTCCCTGGAGAAAAGAGATCATTCGTGGACAGAAGGGAAATTTAAAATGAGCCCAGCATCCTCAGAGACGTTATTGTGATCTCTCTTCAGGGATCACCAAGGACCCTGCATCTTTAGACTTTTTAGTCCACGTGTTACTGACCATCCCTGTCATTTCTGTTGTGGATACTCGATTGTCCATGGGTGGGATGAGCACACGCCTTCATGGGGGGAGGGGAGTGGAGTGGGGGTGTTTTCGGCAGAGGGGGTGTGTGCGTCTGGGCTGGGAAGGCCACGTTCTGTTTGGACAACCGGAAGTTCAGTGCAGCGGGCCTGGGCCACATGGCGTGGGCAGACACGAGGCCGGGGCTGGCAGAGGGAGAGGGGCGGAGCGGACAGGCCCTGGAAGGCCACTGGGCCGTGCTCTTCGGAGCTTGGTTTGCGAGCAGGAGCCTGGTGTGAATGGATCTGCTTGAGGCGACGTCACTCTGGCCAGAGTGTGGGACAGGCCAGAGGGGAGGCGGGGATGCCTCTCTGTGACCACCTTCCTTCTTCTGCGGAAAATTCCCCTTACGTCGGAGGCAGGTGTCCCCTCCTCCGTGAGGCTGCTGGGACTCTCCCAGGTGAGGACTGCTCGCACCTGCTGGCGTCTGCTTCTCTGAATGGATGACTGGCGGTTTGTGTGCACGTCTTCAGTGCCCCCTTGGGCTGTGGGGCCCCCAAGGAGAAGGGCCCCATCTTGCCGATCACCTGTACCCTCTGTGGAACGGGCCTGCACCTGGTCCCTAAGTAGGTGTTTAAGGCTTATAAGTGAAAATGAGATTTATGGCTGTATTCGTACAGCTTTATTTCTATAATAAATATGAGGTTCTCTAGGGGAGCAAAACCTTGTAAGGCCAGCTTTGGGGACATCTGATCCCGACAGCAGAGAAAGACAGCGAATGCCAGATGCGCTGCGACTTGACGGGGTGCAGCTCCCCGTGAGCTGATGAGACCGGCAGTTCCCGGAGACCCCTCTCTCTGCTGGACGCTGACGCAGGGCGGAAAGGTTTGCTTTCTTTCTAAAAGACACATTTCTCCCTTGAAGTTTATTACAGACCAATCCCTTTCCTTGGTTGCTGTTTTAAACATTTAATATTTTGCTCACTTGCACGATTCCATGAGGAGGTTTCCCTCACCCTCTCGACTCCAAAGTCACATTTTTCCCGGATCTTCTCCTGGGCGGGGTCACCCAGGTCCACTGCATTCTGTCGCGGTGCCGCCTTGGCCACGTCCCTTTCTGAGGAAACTTCTCGGCCGCTCCCCCCAGCCCTCTCTGCTCAGCCAAGTGTCCAAACAGAGGGAGGCCCTTGTTGGGGAGCAGCCTGACCCCCAGGAGCTGGGCTGGCCAGCCACGCCCCCCAGCCGGTCACGTGGGCTCTCTCTCCACTGGGACAGGAAACTCACAGGTGGACCAGCCAGAGGGGAGCAGGTGGGAACGTAGAGCCAGCCTGCATTCGAACTCCTTCGAGACGGAGATGGACAGGGAGCCGGTCCTCACTGGTCACAGTGAGAACTCCCCAGCACCAGCCCACACCTGCCGCGCTTCCTGCCGTGCGCCCACCTTGCGCCTGACCTTGCGCCCCACCCTTCTGACCTCCGGCTGGCCTAAGGGGGCCCACATCGCCAGCCTGTTAAGTCCAATGAGCCTAGATACGGTCCAGCCCTTCCACGCATTCAAAATGTTATAAACATCACCGACGGCCTGCTCTGCACAGACGCCCGCCGGGGAGGCCCGGGAGGCTGGGGCCGGCTCCCCAGCGGCTCCTCCGAGCCCGCCCATGGCGTTTCCCGCCAGCTAGTGGCCGAGCCTCGTCGCATGTTTTGCAAAAATGCTTATTGATTGCAAAGGACACAATCACGACAATGCCATAAAAATTCTAAAAGTCAAAGGAAAAAACAGCTGCATCACCATCCCCTTCATCTAGTGCAACCGCCTACACAACTGAGCGTCAGCCATGCTTTTCAACATTTCAGGGAGAAAGATCCTTCGAAAACACAAAGAACACGTACGCACACCCTTCCCAGGGGATGCCCCTTCACAGAAGAGTTTGCGAACAATTTCAGGGAGTCGCCCGCAGGGCCCCCCTCTCCCTGGTGAAGGATATCACATCGTCCTCTCTCACTGTACGTCAGGGGACACTGGAGACGCTCAATACGCATGCGTCCGTGACGGTGACATTATCCCTGATCACAGCCGCTGGGAATCACGACACCCACTTTCCATCTCTGTGAGGCGGTGCGAACTTTGGTTCGAAAAACCCTAAAATAATATGAGAACGTGGCTGGCAGAACGTGGCTCAATGGTTCGGTGCGATGCCCCTCCTTGGGGTCACAGAGGTGGCTGGATGACGCCACGGATGACCTAACACTTTAATCACGCTGTACGTTGGTACAAGGATCTTTCCAGAAGAATTTAGCACTAAGTCAAGCATGTTATGGCTGGAGTAAATTTAGAGACTCTCCACTATTCACCTGTTATGGACAGGCCCAAACCGTTTATAATAGTTCCAAACGCTTTAACGGTTTAACGTACGGCTTGAAAAATAACACAGAAGACAGAGTTGTAAGGACGGACTACACGGTACTCCTTTTCCATACTTTTGTTTCTAGAACTCCTGTGAGGTCCGCACGGCCGACTGCGGGGCAGACAGAAGCACATCTGCAGCCACCGCCACAGGTTCGTGGAAAACGTCTGGCAATCTGTCACGAGCATCCTCCTCCATTATGAAGCGCCCCGAACAGGGGACCTCTTTACCCACGGTCCCTCATGCATCAGAGGTGGCTTTAAAACCAAGATCCGGGAGAAAGACTGATTTCCTTCTTTCCTGTTGAATTTTGAGAGTTCTGCATGGATTGGAGATGCAAGTCCTTTGTCAGACAGACGGTTTGCAAATACTTTCTCCCAGTCTGTAGCTTGTCTTTTCATGCTCTTCGCTTTATGGAGCAAAAGGTTTTTATTCGGATGAAGTCGTTTATCGACCTTTCCTTTTATGGATTGTGTTTTTGGTGACAAGTCTAAGAATTCTATGCCTAACCTTAATCCTGAACACGTTTTCCGTTTTTCTCTACAGGTTCTATACCTTTACATATAAGTCCGTAGTCCATTTTGAGTGAGTTTTTACATAAGGTATAAAGTTTGGATAGAAGTTCACTCCCTTGCCTATGGATGAAAAACTAAGTTTTAGAAGCTCGTCTTTGAATGTGTTTGTGTGCTTTGATATTTTCCCTTCCAGTAGCCCCAAACTGAAGATTAAAAGTCTTGCACTGGTCTGTTTTTATTCCTTTGGTATCTCTGTATAAAGCAGGGGACCCTGCACCCACGGCCACACAGCAGGTGAGCAGCGGGCGAGCCAGGGAAGCTTCGTCTGTATCTGCAGCCGCTCCCCACGCCGGCATCACCGCCTCAGCTCCGCCTCAGCTCCTCAGGCATCAGATTCTCATAGGAGCCCCGGTCCCTCACGAAGGCTGGGGACCGCTGGTATAGAGGGGCTCCAGAAAAATCCAGGTAAGAAATTGAAAACTTTCATATTCTAAATGTTAAATTGTTTAAGTTCTTTGATCAAATGAAGGCAAGATCACTAGTCACAGCTATTTTGTTTTAAAATGATCTTGTCGTGTACAATTACAAAGATCCACCACGATGGCCCTGCTTTTTCCTCATATTTCTGTCCGTATAGAGGGGCTCCAGATAAATCCAGGTAAGAAATTGAAAACTTTCATATTTTAAATGTTAAATTGTTTATAAAGTTCTTTGATCAAATGAAGGCAAGATCACTAGACACAGCTATTTTGTTTTAAAATGATCTTGTCGCGTACAATTACAAAGATCCACGATGGCCCTGCTTTTTCCTCATATTTCTGTCCCCAAGCAGGACACAGAAACCTGCAAGCTCACGCCCCAAACTCCCTTCCCGTCATCTCCAGGTGCAAACATGTCAAGACACCCCAGGAATGGCCATTAATCCTCAGACTCCTGTTCGTGGGGAGCCCGAGGGGAGCCCCCCTCCCCCGCCGCTCTGGGCGGGGAGGCGTTTTGGGCAGGTCACTCTGTGACACTTACACACAGGTGGCGGTGGCCCCGGGAGGGGGCTGAGGTGGAGCGGGAGGCAGTCATGACAGGGCAACTGTGCCTTGGTGAGCCGGGGCAGGCGGGGTCCTGCGCTGTTGCCCGGGAGCCCAGCCCTTCCCGCCGTCCGCTGGACGTTCCCATTTCCTCCTCACTCTCGTAGGCCCTCGCTTCTCTCTCGACCTTGCGAATGATGTCCGATTGCAAACGCGCTCTCCCATGGAGCTGGACGCAAGCTTCTAGAGGCTCGGACCGGGCGCACAACTGTCCCTGGGTGGGACCCTGCTTCCGGTCTCTGCTGCTCCCCCGGGGCCTAACTGGCCTCCCTGCCTCGGTCACTTCCTCGCCCACGGTCCATTCCCAAACCCGTCCACACAACACGGGTCTGAGACTGCAGCTCCTGAACTCAGATGTGCTTGAGCCACTCCGCAGAGACCATCCTCTCTTCCCTTCGAAGGCAGAAGGCCCCGCCCAGCCCCCGGCCATCCCGCACCTGCTCTGACCTTGGCAGGCCCCAACACCACATAGTATCCCTGGCCTCATGTCACCGTGCTCTGAAGATGTCCTCTGGTTCTTCGGCCCAGAGACTGCCTGGAACTCTGCGTGCAGTCCCTCATCCCCCGTCCCTGACCCCCTTCCGCTCCAGGTGCCTCTCACGGCTCCTGCCCGCTGTTTATGCTCACCTGAAAACCTCGCAAACTCACGAACTTTCAGTCTTACACGTGAGTGATATTTTGAAGAGTTTGTTGTCTATTTACAGAGCTTAGTAGAGGTTGAGACGCCTATCAGTTTTTTTTGGTAGGTCTTTTCTAAGTTATCTGACTACATACGGGGCTGACAACTGATAAATGACTAAGTGTTATAAAAATACCCAAAGGACAGTCACACAGCTCTGCCGCATGACCCAGGTTTCGGGGCGAGTCAGTATCTCTGCAGGTTAAATAAAACCAGTTTTTTCTCTCCCTGCTTTTTTGTGTTTTATTTGAATAGCTGGTTTCTGGAACGTTTCCAGATACTTTAGGATTGATTCTAGAATGTGACTCTTACAAGTCAACAGAAAAGGTATTCTGATCTGCACAGAGCACGCCCACGTGATTTAAACACACCAAACTTTACGAACGCTTACCATTTATTCTTTTAATAATCACATTGCCACTTTGTAGACTTATACGTTTCATGAATTCATCCCTAAATAATTCTGCAGAACGTCCCCCATCATTTGCAGCTACTTCATAAATGCTGATGTACCCAGATTTGCTTTTTGTCTCAAACTGTTCATTAAGTGACTCTTTAATAGCCAGTTAAAAAAATACTTTCACTCAACAAAGACTAGATTATATAGTTGATAATTTCAGATTTTTATGGAACAAGCTTCACTAATAGTGAAAACTTATGCGTGTCAAACTCCCTCATGCATATTTAGAGAGAGAGATGCTTAGAATAAACTTGAAATGCTTCCAATTATCCTTTTTCTTAGGAGCCGCATCAGAATTGCTTTGCCAAGCGAGAGGAAGATTATAAGAACTGACTATATCCAGTCAGCTGTTTTTTGGGGGAGGAAACAATTTGGAACTTCTGGGGTAGGGGCAGGTTAGCGGGGCACTGGTGGCCTCGTGGGCTGGGCTTCCTGGATGCACGCAGGTACAGGCGGGGCCTGGTTTACTGGGAACACCAGCCCTGCAGGGGCAGGGGTGGGGGGCGGCTGCACCAGGTCGAGGGGGGCGCTGACCGCGATGCCGCGGCAAGGGAGCCATCAGCTGACCCCACGGGGAGCCCGGGAGCGAGGAGGACGCTTCGGAGTTGTCCCAGTGAGGCCAGCGGGCTGGGTCTCCGTACCCGAACGTGACATCCTTGGATGCAGCTGCTGGGGGACAGTGCGGGGAGTAACCTCGCATGGAGCGGCTCCCGCAGACCTGGAACAATGCCTCGGGAGGGACTTTGTGTGAGAGGTCAGTCAGCGGGACAGGCCGGGAGGCTGGGAGTGGCGCCTGGGTCCTGACGGGGCGACCGATGGGCCACGTCCGCACCCACTGCGGCGGGGGAGGTGGCGCCCCAAAGGCAGTGGAGCACAGCTACAGGGGGCCGGGCCAGTGGGGGCTGGTCGCGGAGCGGGAGATGGGACCCGTGAATGGGACGGTCCCCTGCCCCCCGTCGGCCGCAGCCGCGGTCACGCCGACGAATTTTAAACAATACGCTGGTTTTATCACCGTCGCGTCTGCCGGGACTTTGGGCATCGCATCTCAGGCCCACTGTCACCCCCCCCACCCGCTTACTCGTGGCTCCCGAATCCTTGCTCCCGTCACCGTCCTCCGTGACCACACGGCCGTCGTGTTTCCCCCTCGCTGTGACGCGGCGCCACACCCCACCCCGGGGCTCCCCACACAGCGGTCCTCGGCCTGGGCGTCACCAGAACCCACCTGTTGGAACACGAGGGGCATGGCTGCTGCGACCCAGCTAGGGCTGGTCTCTGCCCCCGACCGCGTCACGGGGACCACGGCCTTTAAGCTGGTTCTGGTCGGGGTCGGGGCAGCTGGGAAGCGGTATTTGTATAAAAACACCAATCTCAACACGTCCGCATCGTAGGATGAGCGTCCGGCCCGAGCTCCCACCCCAGAGGAGTTTTTGTGAATGAAGAACCGCCCGGGGCTGCACCTCTCCACGCGCTCCAAGGTGAAGGTCCCAAGACATCAGCACCTGCCGAGCCCGCCCCTCCGCCACCGCCAACCCCTCTGCCACCGCCACCCCCATCACACCAGGTGAGGCCTGGCCCGAAGTGACACGCTCTGAACTCTGATTTCCTCTGGAAAGCGAGAAACAGAAACTTTCATGAGAACACTCCGAGATGTCAGCGTCAGGTGATAAATCTGAAGGAACTCGCTTTGATCACAGTCGATACAACTGTTTGATTTTGCAGTGGCCGCTTGGTTTGCCAAGCGTTTTTCTTTATTTCTACCCTTGAGGAAAGATCGGTGGGACCGTTTGTTTTGAAGATTGAAAATTCAAAGCTAGCACATATGTGAACACACACGGCAAGTCTCTGAGTTGTTGAAACTACTCCTCATCCAAACAGGTTTTTGTAAATCATAGAAAAGATGGCAACCGATTGTGGACCAACATAAAAAAAAAAAACAACTGAAAAACTTGGTTTTCTAGGAAACAAACGACTGCTGCCTCCGCGAACTTGATTATCCCACTGATTCAAAGCAAAAAAAAACAAAAACAAAAACGAAAAACACACACAGAAAACCCCAAAACGACTCCAATCTCTGACCTTCCGAGCCCCTTACCTTCTTTTTTTCCTTCGTTCTTTTCCTTTCCTTTTTTTTGGCTTTCTTTTCCTTTTTCTTCTTTTTCTTCCGTTTGCTTTTTTCCTCTTCTTCTTGGCTGGCAATAATATCACCGATAACCTAGCGTGAAAAAGAAACAGCGGCAGCGTTTTCATGGAGCCCTCACGAGACCGTCCGCAGGGAAGCGTCTGTGCGGGTCCGGCTCCCTCGCTGCCCCGCGCTGGGCCCCGGACGCTGGCCCTCTTGGGGACGCGTCACCGTTCCCGCCGGCGCTTTGCCTCTGGGCGGACTCCTCGGCGGGAGGCAGCAGCCGCGTCTCCCAGGGCAGATGGAGAGAGAGGCGGAGGCTCCCTCAACACCTCCGCCACGGCCGAGTGCCAGGCGTGCCCACACCTCGTCCCCAGATCCCAGCAGAGCGCACCTGTTTCCTGCCTGAATTCTGGTTGTGACAGCTGCTCCTGTAATAATGTCACTTCTCCATAAATGACCACACACCTCTTGTCAGAGCTGGTTTCTTCCACCTGTCATTCAATTTACATTTCCTACAGTGACCCGAACCCATTTATTCCTCTCAACTTTAACATATTTGCTAAAAAGCACCTGGTTCACATAGGATTAGCATCACTAAAGAATGAGTACAAGTTTGTAGAAGACCATATAATTCAGTTCAATCCAGTTGAGAGTCTGCTGAGTTCTCACTCGCGGTGACAGAGAGCTAAGAATTCTGGGAGCTGGGAGGGTGATGACGACAGGTCACACATCCCGTTTGACCCTCAGGCTCTGCTCCTCACTGGAGGCACAGCTTCTCTGAGACTCGGTTCCCTCAGCTCTGAAATGACATCGGCGTGTCCATCCACGGCACTGGCGCTGGACCAGGCATGGATGTGAGAGTGTCACAAAGACTAACTCGTTCACCGCCGAGCACAGCTGCCATCGGCCCATTTTAGCGATGCGGACACCGGGGCACAGAGTTCAGTAGCCTGGTCAAGGACACCCAGCTGCTAAGCGGCTGGGCTGGGATTCGAACAGGTGGTCACCAGGACGAGTGTCATAACACAGAAGAAAAGAGGCGAGATGCAAGACGATACGTCTGGGTTCATCCTGTAGTATCGAACGCGTGTAGTTAAACAAAAAACGTGGTTTCGGGACACACAGTGTAGTCGAAGTGGAAAGAAATGGAAGTGAGTGCCAGCCGCCCAGACAGATCAGTGAGCAAGGCGCGCGATTCTAACAGGGGCTGAGGTCACTGCGTCGCTCCCCTCTAGTACCTTAGAGGAAATCGCCCTCGGGGAGCAAGTCTCTTTGATGCTGTCTTGCTGTGATTTACTAAGATGCTGAAGTCTATTTTCTGGTATTATAGTTTTGCTATTTACACCTAAGTCATTCTTAGGAGCCAAGCTCACACCTTTAAAACGATAAAAGCTTCATCATGAACAAAGGGCTATTTTGGCACCCTCTGGACTTTACCAAAACCCAAAGCAAACTATAGTCGTGCATACGACTCCACACTATCCAGCGGCCCCACCCCCACCCCCAGCCTCTCAGGAAGGTTTTGGTGGGGGGAGGCTCGAGATGGGGTGCTGGGAAGGTGAGGGGTGACGCAAAAAGTGTTGTGCGCACTTTTTGGTAATGAAAGGGGTGTTTTTGGACAGGATTAAAAGTTCCTTGTCAAAAGAGCAACGTTTTCCTTGGAGACCAGGCTCATCTCGACCCCCAGAACCAGTCCCAGCTCCTGCGCATGTATAGATTCTGTAACTCCATGTGTGTACACACACATCCCACACGTGAAGCACGCTGACACTGTTGTGCCAGGCTTGCCGACCTCAAGCGTGAAAAACGGTATGTGACGCAGTGGTCCATTCTTTAAACCAATGCTGAGTTTATTTCGCTCATGCTCGTCACTACAGTGCACACACAGATTCACATGTATACACACGAATACATATTATAAGCTCACATTTGTTGTCTCGTCCAAATGTTAGCATTTTGTACATGCTCTTTTGTTCTGCATTTTTCTCCTAAATGACGTATACCTTGGCCATCTTTCCTTCGCAATACAGAAGGACCTTCCTCGTCCAATTTTTCATAGATGTAGTGTAATTTATTTGATCATTCTCCAACGACTGGAAATGCAGGTTATTATCAATCTTTTGCTATTCCCGACAACGATGCCATGAATAAATTCATGCAAATATCATCTTGCAGGTGTGTGAGCATATCTGCAGGATAAATTCCTAAGAGGAGAAATTCTGCATTGAGCTGTACATCCATGTGTAATCTTGTCAGATCTTCCGCTGAGCTGTGCCTGTTTACACGTCTGCCGGCATGCGGGCGACTGCTCGCTTGCCCACATGCTCGCTGACACAGAGTGTTATACTTGCCAACGGCATGGGCGGAAAAATGCTGTCATTGCAGTTGTTCTGTGTGTGTGTGTTTTTTTAATGCCAGGAATGAATTTATTTAGCTTATTCTCTTCAAGTACAGTGAAATCTCCCAAACTGAGGAGGGCACCGCACCGCCTAGTAAGTCAGCTGTCTTTTTTATTTTTTATTTTTGAAAATTATGGATCCAGAAGACTGAATCTGGCATGCCACCTGCTTTATTTTATTTTTTAACAACATATTTAATTTTATTGAGGCATATTTTACGTATCATACATTCTAAATGTACAATTTTTTTTTTTTAAGTAAATTTACCAAGTCGTGGGACCATCACCATGAACCAGTTTCGGATCCTTTCCAGCACCCCGATCGGGCCCCCTCCTTAACTGTTACCCCTTCTCTCTTTCCTCTCCCCGCTCCCAGCAAGCACGAGCCTCCACGGATGCACCTCCCTGAGTGCGTCACAGAAGTGGAATCATATGCAGCACGCCGGCTGTCCCTAACTAGTCGCCGAGTGACATTCCCTCGCCCGGGCACGCCACGTTCCACTCTCCACTTGCCAGCTGGTGGACATTTATGTCGCTTCTAAGTTCTGGCCATTATGAGTAATGCCGCTATGCATATATATATACAAGTTTGTTTTTGGTGTGGGCGTGTGTTTTCATTTCTTTCGGGTAGAGTCCTTAGCGTGGACTGCTGGGTCACTTGCTAAATTTATGTTTAACTTTTGAAAACCCGACAAACTCATTTTTCAAAATGGCTGTACCATGTTACATTCCCACCAGCGATGTCTGAGGAGTCCCTTTTCCCACATCCTCAACATTTGTTATCGTCTGTCTTCTTGATAACGGCCATTCCCCAGTGGGTATGAAATGGTATCTCTTTGTGGTTTGGATCCCAGTGACTAAAGGATGTAGAGTATCTTTTCATGTGTTTATTAGCTATTCCTATATCTTTCTTTGTGAACTGTTTATTCAAGCCTTTTGCCAATTTTCGATTGGATTGTTAGTCTTCTCATTACTGAGATGATGGAAGGGTTCTTGATACATTCTGCATACAAGTCCTTTATCAGGTATATGTTTTGAAATGTCTTCTCCCAGTCTGTTCCTGTCTTTGCATTTTCTTGATGTGTCTTTTGAAGTGCAAAAGTTTTGAATTTTGATAAGGTTCAATTTATCAACTTTGTCCGTCAGTGTAGTTTTAATTTGCATTTCTCTTGTATGTGTGAGGTCAATGATCTTGTCATATGTTGAACATCTTTTATTATGTTTCAAATCCATTTAGATTTTCTTTTCTGAGAACTGTCTGTTCATATCCCTTGGCTATTTTTTTTTTTTGTATTGGGTTATTGATCTTTTTCTTGTAGAGCTGTGGGAGTTCTCTATATATTAGAAAAATGATCTCTTATCTGTGATACTTATGACAAATCAATCTCCCAGTGTTTCATCTGTTATTTGATTTTACTTGGGTTGGTTCTACCACGCAGGCTAAAATTTTTTTGTGTGCGTGTAGCTTAATTTATCGCTTTTTCTTCTATGACTCCTGGGCTGTGTGGCAGAGGCAGAAAGGTCTTTCCCGCCATGAGGTTACGACATATTTCTTCCTTGGCTTCTTCGAGTCTTTTTGTCTTTTGGTTTTGTTTGACATTTAAATCTTTGATCCATTCAGAATCATTCTGGGGTAAAGTATAAAAAGATAGTGATTTAATTTTCTTTTTTTTTCAGATGGCAACCTGGTTATTCTAATACCATATATATTGTCCTTTTTCTTACACAAGAAAGGCGAGATGCCACCTTTATTACATGCCGAATTTCTATGTGTGTTTGGGTATACGTCTTGATTTTCTATTCTTTTCCAATGATGTGTCATCCTTCTAATCATTTGCTTATACCAATGGGCTCTTGATAAGTTGTTTTAACAATTGGGCTGGTTTCTCGTTACCCTTTGTTTTCAGAATTTTACTGGTTATTCTTGGTTACTTATTTTCGACTTCAAGTTTAGAATCAGGTTGGTCACCTGCCCCGTGCCCCACCCCCGAGCTCCAACCTAATGCTGTTGGTATTTTTATTTAGATCATATTACATTTAAATATGATGTTAGAGAGAGCTGAAGTATTTATGATGTTGAGTATTTCTACCTAAACACACGGTATGCTTTTTCATCTCTTTGTTTGTATCCCTCAGAATGTTTTAAACTTTCTTCACATAAAACCCTCTATTTATTAAGTTTATTCCCGGCTATTTTATCTTTGTGTTGTTGTTGCTATTGTAAATGGACTCTTTATTTTCTATCTAGCTGCTGTCTGTACCTACAAAAGCTATTGCTTTCCGAATATTAATTTTGTAACACCCTCATCTGACTTCTCAGATTGTTTAGTTTCTCAGTTTATTCTCTTTGCTTTTATAAGTACAGAACACATCTTCAACAAGTGATAAATTTGCCTCTTCCATTCCAATTTCTATATCTCTATGTTCTTTCTTTGGTCTAATAGAGTTCAACAGATCCTACGAGATGACGGTGACAATGGCCACCTTTGTATTTCTCCTGACATCAGTGAAAACGTTTCTAGTGAATTTCCTTAAGCATGACATTGGCTTTTGAACTAAGATGGAAATATTCTGCCATGTTACGAAGTACCCATGCATTCCAGTCGTTTTATTTTTTAATACCGAGAATGAACGTTGGATTTGTAAGATGCCCGTTCAGCATCCACAGCGATGAGCTTCCAGTTCTCGCTTTTGGGCCCCGCTATGCGAGGGGCGCGTCCATACCCTTTCCAGCTTGACCTGTTCTTGCGGTCTGGAGTAACTGGCGCTTGGATGCGCTGTTTCACTTACTTAATGTGCTGCCGGTTTTGGTGCGCTGGTATTTTGGTTAAAATTTTTGCATTAAAACTCATCAGGAAGGTTGACCTGTGGTTCTATTTGTATCCCATCTTTTTTTGGATGTGATATCAATGTGATTCTGCTCACTTCATAAAAAAAATATTTGTGCGATTTTTGTTTCTTAAAAATAAACTCGGCTCTTTAGTACGTTATTGGAACGATTGGGCTTGGTCTGTCACTTTATCTTCCTCCTCCTACTGACATTCGTGACGATCGCCAAAGTGTTCTGGAAGATGTCATCAAGCCCAGCTGCGTTCTCAGAGCACGTGTCACCTCCTCTAATTACACACCTGTCCGGGGAGGTGGCCATCGCTCGGCTCTCCATTTGCAGATGATAAAACATAGAGATGGGGGGCAGAGCCAGCCTCCCCTTGCAGGGGGCCGTGACCCCCACTCTGCCAGCCCGGCTCCTCAGCCATCTGTCTCGTAAAGTCATGCTGCTTCGTGGTCACTCCTTTTTATTCTTATTACGAATCAGACATCCTCGGTTCTCTTTTAGTTTTAATCTGCCTAGATGTTAACTCTACTCATGGGTGTTTCTCATGGACAATCTAGACATTCCACCGGCAGATAACTGTTACCTTTCTAAACTCACATGACACATGTTTGGCTGCTTGCCAAGGACTTTCAAGACATGACTTGTGCCTGTGAATTAACTGGAGGGACAAGACTTGAACATAAAAAGCAAAATGACACCAAGTCAAAATGACGGGCCCTCAGGCAGGGCCTGGTGAACTCCCAAACGGGAGGGTGGACGTTACGTGGCCGTGGAGGGCAGAAGACACAGACAGGAGGCCTCCGGAGGGCTGATGGAGGGCTGTGGAAGCCGACCTTGGCCTCGGCCTTGGACTTGGCCGGGGATGGGGAAAGAGCGCTTCCCGCCAAAAAGAGGCAGCCATGTGACTGACCGTGAGGGCGCGTGCGGGGGGCGCAGGGAGACGCAGGCCGAGCGGGGAGCCCCAGCCATGACACAGCTCTGGTGCGCTCTGCCGCGTAGCCAGCACTGTGTGTGGCCTCACCAGTTCCCTGCCGGTTAAAGAGCGCTGGCCTGCTTTCTGCTGTGTCGCTGTGACAGACATGAAGACGTGGCAGCTTCCTCGGCGGCCTGCGGCAGGGGTCGGCACATTACACTGCATGGGCGACATCTGGCCCGTGTCCACGCTTACAAATAAAGTTTGACTGGCACAGAGCCGTGCCCATTTGTCGACACACTGTCTGTGTCTGCTTTCTCACCACGATGGTGGAGATGAGTGGTCGTGACAGATAACGCACGTCTCACAGACTCGAATGTTTAAAATTGGGCCCTTTATGGGAAAGTATGTTGGTCTCGATCTCTGGCAACTTGTCTTACTATTTCCTTACCATAAATTCCTTAAAAGCATTTATGGGTCAAATTTCAATTCATATTAAAAATTCTGATATTTACTTGATCTGTGTTTCTCAAAAAAAGGTCATGTTAATGTAGGTATCCGGCATCAATGTATGTGCGTGCGCCTCTTCACATGCCAGCTACCTCCAGTTATTATGATTTAAAATTTTTACCAATCTTATAGGTGAAAAGAGATATAGTAACATTATTGTATGCATAAATTAAATTTTTTTCTTAGTGAGTTGCAAAATGTCTTGTTAAATTTCTGTTTGTATTCTTTGCCTTTTTTCCTTCTAAGATGTTCACATTTTTCTTATTATTTTCTAAGAGCTCTTTATATATGAAAGGTACCTATTGTCACACATGTTGCGAATATTTTCTCCAGTGTATCTTATGACCTTAATTTAATTTATAATATATTTTTTTGCCATTTGTATTTTATGACGTCGAATACTTCATCCTATTCTCTTTTTAATTTCTGTCTATGGTGACATGCTTATAAAATTATTCTCTACTACTATTAAATATTCAAACAATTTCATTTTGCAATTTCTGGTTTAATATTTTACATGTCAATATTTAATGCATTGAAAATTTATTTTGTGTAATAAGGTAGGTTAGGATTTGCTTAATTTTGTCCAATGGCGAGCCAGTTGTCTTGATAGTATTTAGTGAATAGTCCACCCTTCCTTACTTATTTATGACATCGTAGTTATGTTATTGAATTCCAGTTTGTCCCTGACTCGGTTTCTGAGCATACTGTTCGGAAGTCAGGCTATTTGAGTTTGAATAACAGCTCCACAACTTATTGACTGAATTTGGCCAAATTGTTTGATCTTCTTAAGTTTGGAGTTTTGGATGAGTTCACATACATCAAGTGCACAGGACTTGGTGCGGAACGTGTGTTCAATAAATGCTACGTGCATTCACATGCTGTGCTACTTTTGTCATTGCTACTATCGGTCTATTCTTTTCCCAATACCATGATGTTTAAATTACTTTATCTTTATAATTTCCTTTACATCAAGGAGGGCAAGTTCCCCATAATTATAGTTCTTTTTCAAAAGCTTTTTGGATATTTTCATGCAGTCATTCTTCCCTACAAACTGGAGAGTGATTTTGTCAATGAATTTTTTTTTTTGATTTGATTGAAATTGCATTGACTGTGCAGAATCACGGAAAGATAATGTGTATTTGTACCTCACTGGGCCTTTCTATCCAGGAAAACAATCCATCGGTATATTTGTTCAAGTCATCTTTTATATTCTTCAATATAATTGTCAATTTAATTCCGAACAATTCTGTATAATATGTCAATGTGATTTCTTGTTAATTTTATTGTTTTAAAGAAAAATAATCACAAAATATGAAAACAGTGATAAAATGATCAGCTCTAAAATATTTACAATTCCTTTCTGTTGTCTTATCGTATTGCATTTGTTAGAACTTTCAGGGAAACATTAACTAATAATTCTGATAGCAAGTAATCTTTTCTTGAGTTTCACTGTTGAGGGCAATGCTCTAACGCTTCACTGTTGACAACTGTGCAAACACTTCTCCTGGTTTCCATAATAAATACTCTAAGGTGAAGACAAATTTTCCTATTTTTAGTTGATTAAGGCATTTCTAAAAATGGCTTTTGATGTCAACGTCATCAAACGCCACTGGTGCATCTGCAGCGAGGGTCAAACAGTGCTTCTCCGGAAGATCACTGATGTGGCGAGGAGCTGTGTCTCGATGGCCGTGCAGGAAGTCAGTGGGGGAAGCAGCGGGGGACAGCACCCTCGGCGAGGGAAGGGGTGTCGCGGACGAGGGCATTAACAGTCAGAGACGTGGGGGGCTGTGAGGGTGGTGAGTGGACTGCTGGGTTTACGTGGTGATGGGGGGGGTGACGGGGACGGGAGAGGAGACGAGGCAGTGACCAGAACCTAAAAGGCTCTGGAAATCAAGCTGCTCAGAATTTACCAAGATGAGCGGCACACGTCGTCACATCTCGTCCAAGGGTGAGACAGGCAAAAGGGTAAATTCGTGTTGAATAAATTTCAGTGTACGTTGACCGACGGACATCGAAAGTATTTTCATGTAAGCACTTGTGGGACAATAACCAAGACCTAATAGTACTATGAACTTACCAACTTTAAAGGTTAAGGAAATGTGATTATGATATATTCACACTTTATCTCTCAAGCATATTTGTACCTGTTGTGGGGTCTTCTTTAAAAAAATAATAGCTGAACAAAGCCTTCTTCCACCTCAGGGTAGTCGGGAAAGGTGCCCGTTAGGTTCCTGAGGAGGAAAAAAAAAAGCAAATTAAGCAGAAATGACCGCAGACCTCTCTGTTACATGTCCCGTAGCTGGCTCAGCTTACGCTCATTTAAATGAGTGATGGTTATTAGGGCGCGGGCCCCCTGCCAATCGCGGGACAGACGCACTGTCCCCAAGAAGCAGAAGGGTCTGGAGACATTCTGGGGCAGACTCCTTCCTCCCGGTGGTTGTTACTCTGAGACGGACACACCTCCCTTTGAAACAGATCGTCAACTTAAGTTCTCTCTCTTTTTTCTTGAAATTACTGAGACACTCTGTGCTTGGGTTAAGAATGAAGCCGAGAACACAAATCATTTCTTTCTGTTTAAAATTTAGGATAAACACAGGATTTTGAAACGAAACAGAAGGCTGGAGTTGTTAGAATTGCAAATTTAGTTAGAGTGCATGAAATACACATGATGCTTTAGGTTTTTCTAAGACCCTATATTTTATGGGTTCTAAACAGTATTTTTTTTTTTTTTGCTGTAACCATATAATTTCTACATTTCAAAAAAGCAGGCTTTAAAATTTAATGTTGAAGAATTTCAAAGGAATATGTAGTTAATATTTCTAAAAGGAACAGATATTGATACAACTGTCACATTTATTCCACATAGACAAAGAAAAGATGATCGAGTGGGTTCCATTAATCCACAGAAGCACAGAATCTGAGGGTCAGAGGAGACGACCACGCTTAAAGTGATGTACGACAGTGGTTCCCAAACCTCTGGCCTTAAGAACCCTTTACACTCGTGATTCTTCAGTACAACAAAGAGCCTTCGTTTATGTGCGATAGCTCCTGAGATTTACTGTATTAGATAGTAAAACTGAGCAATTTCTAAAATATACATTTTTTTATTCATTTAAAAATGACAATAAACCCACTATATGTTAACATAAATATAATTTTTAATGAATAATATATTTCCTGAAAAAATTAGCGAGAATGGTCTTATTGTTTTGTATCTTTTAAGTCTCCTTGAGGTTTGGCTGAACGGAGAGCAGCTGGATGTTCACGTCTACTTCTGTGTTCACCCTGTTGCAATGTGCTGTTTTGGTTGAAGCATAGGAAGAAAATCTGGACTCACGCGGATGCGTAATTGGAAAAAGAGGACTATTTTCCTAGCCTTGTGGGCAACTGCGGACTTGCCCTGCTGAGTCTCCACCACGCCTGACGAGCGTAGCTTCCTGAAGACTGCGGCACTGTGGAGTCTGAGACCGTGTCCGCGAGCTTTCCCTCCTCCGTCACACGGAAACCCATCTGGCACGTAGAACAGATCTTTCACCCACGCATAATTTTCTAACACCAGGTACTGGTCATTAGGAAAATAACGGTTCACTAAGTCAAGTGGCTCTTGCCAATGCTGACACATTTCCTCGTGTTAAAATCCACATTCACCAACAACCTGCCCACCTTCTAACCAAAAGTCCGTCATGGAAGGTCTCGACCTCGTAGAGGTGGCTACGAGATTTCTAAAATTTTAATTTTTGCTGAAAAGCTTGAATTTTACTGGTGACAAAAACACGCATCGAGACCGCTGATCTAGGCCACGTCCCAAAGCCTCGGCTTAGGTGCCTCCGTGAGGGTTGGCTCCCCCTCCCCGAGGACGCGCCCTCCATTTCCAGCCCTGGCAGCTGCTATGAAGTCCTTCCTGACACCCGACCAACCGCGACCTGACTCCTGGGTTCTTGCTGCTCCTTCCGAGGACAGAATTTGATCCCCCTTCTCTTTCACATGACTGCTTTCCAAAGAGTTTAACACAGTTATGTCATTGTCTGGACAAAGCATCTCACTTTCTTGAAATTTTCCTGCTGGCTCATTCCGTGGGAACATGACTCAGCTCCTCAGAGTTGCTTTGAAAGGAACGAAATGCAGTGCAGTGTATGTGTTTGCGTGTGTGTGCGTGTGTGTGTTGCGTGTATGTGCGTGCGTGCGTGTGTGGTGTCTGTGGACAAATGCACCAGCAGCGAGGATGGCGGGAGATCACACAGTATGTGTACCATTCTGTCTATGGAGCTACCATTATCACAGCTACTTTGGTGGCCTCACACACTCATTCATTCATCCATCCATCCATTTATCCATCTACTCACCATCCATTCACCTACCCATCCATTTATCCACCCATTCACCCATCCACCCATCTATTCATCCATCCACTCATCATCAGTCCATCCATCAACCCACCCACCTACCTAACCACCCATTCGTCCTTCATTTATCCACCTATCCATCAGTGGCCTCACACACCCATCCATTCATCCATCCACTCATCAGTCCATCCATCAACCCACCCACCTACCTATCCACCCATTCGTCCTTCATTTATCCACCTATCCATCCACTTATTCATACAGTCAATCAACAAACATTTGTTTAACACCAGCTAGATCCTGGATGCAGTTATGGGAGACAGTCATCTGAAGATTAAAAGATGCTGACCCTGCCCCTGTGCACAAATACACGCACAACACATGGCCGATGCGTGTATTTGGCCTCAGACGCGGCTCGTCCACAGGATTCACATCTCAAACCTCGTTAGGTTTCCCGGCCATGTTCTGCCTTGGTCTGTGCATCACTTGGTCCGGCCAGTTCTTGGATAATGTCTGCACTGGGGCTAAAAATTAGACCGCTCTCCCTCCCACACCCACTCACCACGCTCCTTGGATGACCGCCTTTAAAGCAACTCCGCTGCGTGATCTTATTCTCCCATTATATAGCTGGGATGGCTTGAGGACTCAGAGCAAACCTAGCAACTTATATAAACTAAAAACTGAAAGGCTTTATATGTGTCATTTTTACGGTGGATTTCTCAATCATGTCAACACCTTGGTTGTCGTAGTAAGATTTAATAATGTGTTTTTCATAGTACTTATGGCAAAAATATTAAAAGTATTTATTTTTAATAGATAAGTGAACATATTTAATTCTTAGTTGCATTAGTTTAAATCATTAATCTGAAACTGAATTAGCCTTATCCTTAAAGAAGGTAAAAAATATTGTAAGGCGCATATTTAAAAGATATATTTTTAAACTCGTATCTGGAAAATGACTGTGTAACCTGAGAGCTCTTTATCTCGTGCGTGGGCACATGGACACACACACGCATGGACACACACACACGGACACACACACGCACGCACACACATGCACACACACGCGCACACACGCGCACACACGATCCTGTGCTCACTCAGGCTGTCCCTCAGTGGCGAGGGCGCCTCTGTTCCCACAGCGGCCACGCCCCTGCTTTGGGGCATTCTGAGGGCGCCCTGGGCTTGCACTGGCCGGGACCCTCTCTCTGTGACAGGGCCACTCAAGGCACGCCGAGAGAAAAGAGATGTGGAACTCTACTCTAGATTTCCTCGGCTGCCGGGGTTCACCCCATTCTTATGTGTGCACCGTGGCGGATGGGACGCAGCCTTCCGCCTCCCCTGGACGGCTCCCCAGGATGAGGGGCAGCTGACCGCCGCTCCCTCGCTCGCCATAAGGCAGCTGCAAGGCGACGAGCGTTTTAGGGCTTCGGACCCCGCACACTGAGAAGGTGTCAAGCCCCCGGGGACAGACGCTTGTAGTCAGAGATGAGCGAACAGAAATATTATTTCGGCTTCCATGGTGTTTCTGGTACAAACTGCTGGGGGCTGACAGCATCTCGCAGGGGACGGCCCACCTGGGGACTTCCGGGCCAGTAACCAAGGACCTCAAATGATGTCGTGTCAGATGGGATTAAAAGTGGAAACAAAGCATCTGGTTTCACTCCCTCCCGCCCATCTGTGCTTCCCTGTGCCCCGGGCCCGCACATACGTCCTCCTGTCTCTGCTTCCCCGCGGTCCCTGGGTCACCGAGGGGCAGAGGCTGTCCTTTCACTGACACTGACCTTGACATGGCGTATGTTCGCCAACCGCAGTGACTGGACACCCAGGGCGACAGTCCAGGCCCAGTGCCGGGAAGCCCCTCGCTGTGCTTAGGGCTGACACCCTGTGAACACCGACGTCATTCAAGCAGCAGGAGTCACAAAACGACGGGCTGGCGCTCTGCCCGGAAGGAGTCCCCTTCCCCACAGCCCAGGCCTTTGCCACCGGCTGCCTGGGTATGTCCCTGGGGGAGCCTGGAGGGGACTGCCATCTCGACAGGGACAACTGGTCCGTCCCAGACCCGACTGGCTCCTGGGCTTTCACTGGTAGAAGGGACCACGGCTCCCCGCGATGCAGGCCGGCCGGCTGGGCACCTCGGGTCCTACGTTCCTCAGTGGCTCCCACCAAAGGGGGCTGCACGGTGAACCTGGGACGCGCTCAGGTCTCTGTCGTGTAGAAAACACACCGTCTCGCGCTTCGTCCCCCCCCCGCTCCCATCCCCCGCTGTCCTCGTCCAGCTTTCGAGACTCCTTCGCATGCACTGTCCCCGTGAAGACAGTTCTCACAAGGTGCCGTGGGCCGCACTGCATCCCCCGCCAATCACGGACTTCCAAGTCCCAACCCCTGGGACCTGAAAGTGTGACCTCCTTGGGGACAGGGTCCTTGCGGATGGAGTCAGTTGGGGTGAAGTCCTAGGGGAGCAGGGTGGGCCCTAATCCCACGGAACTGGGTCCATATAAACGGAAAATCTGTCACAAATACACAGAGCGGGAAGGCGATGTGGAGTCTCAGGGAGGAGACAGTGCCCGCGAGCCAGGGAGAGGGGCCGGGGACAGACCCTCGTCACGGCCTCGGAAGGAGCCAACCCCGGCGACACCTTCATGTTGCATTTCCAGCCTCCGGGGCTGCGAGAATAAACGTCTGTGGTTCAAGCCCGAGGCACCTCGTTAGGGTGGCCCCAGGCGGCTCCACACGAGTCCAGCTGTGACCTGGACGCTGTGACTGCCGAGGACATTTTCCACTTTGTTCTCTCCCAGCTGCTCCGACGATGACAGAGCCCTGTTCTGTGGGACGCCGCTGGGCTGGGGGCCCCCGCTGCCCGGCCTC